CAGCTAGTACTACATATCCTCGAAGAACATTTTCATCATTTGGACAAGCTACTCTGCTGACCCGAATATAATGTCTATAAAATTATATGAATAGAGAATGTATGCCGGTCGCTTCTCCAGACTTAACTGATCTCATCGCCATTTATAAAGTGCAATCTCCATGATACTGTACCATGTGTGCAACAGTGCAAAACAGTAATGTTTAGAATTTAGTTTTTTCTTGACAGTACCGTAGCAACTGTTTGATAAGTTTTAGCTTCCTATTCTAACTTCGCTTATGTTTATGGCACATTTACTTTGTAAGAGAGATAAGGAGATGTGTGATGCTATTGTTGCTATTATTTTTTGTCTACTGACCGACACCTTGCTGTTGGGGCTAGAGGTAATACGATACCAAGCGCCGACCTAAAATGCTATGCCATTCTTTGATTGCTGCCCGTTTTTTACGACTTTGTTTAGACAGCAAAGTAGATTTTCACGAGCCTATTTGTTACTGCTGATTATTACAATATTTCTGGTCAAATTGTTTCGTGTACTCAAGAATGTAGGAAACGAGAGTTTATGACCTTTCTCGTTCTCCGTTACACCTCCTGTATGAGTGCCATCTGCGAACTTTTTCTTTCAGCGAGTTATTGCGCAACCTTGCTGATTTTCATTCATTTCGATGCATCACTAATGAGTATTTTGTTTCTCAAAGGCGGTGGTATTTGTATGTTGCCTGTACTATGCTGCTTCTTTCGAAAAGTATTCCTGTTGCTTTTTCTATCATTGAGAGTTCAGGAACGAATTATCTCACCAGAATTTGAACTCATGAACTTTTCATCGAACTTTTCACCACGTCTTATTAACCTACTTAGTTTGTCGTGGCGGGTTGAATGCAGTATCTTCAAGCCACCTCTAAGTGGCCAATAGTAATTTACCTTCCATGGCAATTTTATGTGTACCCGTTTCTGTATTCTAGTGCTTTAGCAATATCTTATACACATGCATTTAACATAGGTCTTGGTCTGTTAATACCCCATCTGCTGACATTGTCCAGTTCATTCCTGGAAGGCGCAAAACTACGTGTTTTCACCGTTGCCGCTAGTCACAGCCAGCTTCAGAAGGAACAACGAAGGTGAGCATGGCTTTTCGTCAGTGATCGTGTTTGGACGTCGTTTTGTTTTAGCATGGCGGCATTGTTGAGTCGTTTTCGCATTGACTATTCAAACGTGTATGTCATCCCAGATTTGGCGAAGCGGCCTAACAAGACAACGGTCGACGCGTTCAAGGAGTTCATCGTGCCGTTCCTAAAAGACATAGACGAAAAGGAGGAAATTTTGGACGAAATTTACGCGTCTCATTTGTACATTTCTGACGCCGAGTTCATCGCAATGAAGGGCAAGGTACAAAAATCATTATTTTTGGATGCTACTTCGTCAGAACGTCGGAGAGATTGTTGCCACTGTCAATTTTTGGCCATGGCAAAAATAATGCGCTTCGGCAGAATCAATAATCGTCCAATGACAGTCCTTATTTGGTTGTGAAACTGGTTTAAAGTCGGCAACTTAATTGTGTTAGACGTCGAAACGTTGGACGCTACTTTTCGCCAAAGATATGTAGTAGCATAAATGAGTGTATGAGAAAGCATAAATGGCAGTCTTGCACTATAATACAATTATTATTACTCAAATAGCTAAGTATTTGAAAGTTGCACGGTTATCAAAACTTAGAAGATACCTGCCAGTACATGTTTAGAGTTAATAAAGATGAGAAAGTATTATAAGAGGAGAAACAAAACAGATGAATAATTATTAGAAACTAATACTTCTTGTGATTTTCTCTTGTTAGCAGTACCTTGTAATTTTCGTGTAACTTTCGGCACAGTTCATTGTCAGATATGTGTCGTACCTTTCAACGACAGCGCAGAATTGCACAGATGATGCTAAACTTGATTGAAGGTTTGCACTAAGGTACAAAATGCGCCGTCTAAACTGAAAATTTATTGTCTCATCGATGTTCGTCAAGGTGCGACACTTTTGCTTTGCTGTTTAGCGTCATGGCAAACTACGTTACTCGAAAGAGCGTCGTCTAAAATTACCACGTCTTGACTGCAAGTTTTCGACGCAGCTTAGAGATATCTGATGCATTCCTAGCGGAGTTTGAGTGCGCTGATGATGTGCCTCTAAGCAACCCTGCAACCTCTAAGTGACTTACTGATAACTGATCAAAAGAGAATGCAGCATTGCTACGGAACTAAAGTTACAAGTCGGCGCCAAGATGTCGAAGACTATGTAAGATCTTGAGGTTACTATGGGATGCTATTAGATGTACATGTACATAACTTCAAGTACCTTAAAAGTATATTGGCTAGCGATTACTGCATTAATTCTCAGGTGAACCGTCGTTTTTTACTGACATCAGTGAATTATGGTAACCTGCATGACACTGAAATACCGGATTATATCAGAATATAAAATCTGGAAGCGGCCATATTTGCGTTAATCAGATTAAGCGCAGAAATAACTGCGGACCGGAAAATTCATTAAGTTAGACTCGATAGCTTCCAATAACTCTGATTGTGAAATATCCTAAAATTGCGATGGTACTATCAGATTACAAACCAGTGTGTTGATGACAACCGGTCTGAAAAAAATTTTCACCTGACCTCGGAGATCCTCGCCTGGCTTGGTTTACTCATAGGGTGAGTGGAAATATCGTTACAGCCTTGTTCGCTTGGCGATCATGCGTCGGCCTGCTACAGATGCGTTTGAAGATGTGGAATCTCTTCCTTGAGCAGACAGGTCGAGAAGGAAAATTAGACTTGTTCGCTTGCGTTGAATGTTACCTAATATCAATTTGAAATATAAGTTGGAATTACTCTGCTCTTTGATCTTGCCCTTAAGCAACAACCAATGTTTTTAGTTTTGTTATTCACTGCCTAGAAAACAATTGCGAACTTGAGGACGGTAGCTTATCCGCAAATCATTTAAGCTATGATTTGCCTGTATTAAAGGTGACAGTTGCTGCTACCCAATTCATTGTATCAATTATGTTGTTTGCATCATTACGAAGACAAGAACCTAGCTGTGCCGAAAGTCTGTCATACCGCACTTCGTACCGCCGCGAATCCTTCATCTCTTAGCATGTCATCTCATGTTTTCTCTGTGCATTACATAGTAGTTATCATCCTGCTGTGCGATGTGTATATTCGGGTGCTGAAAACAGAAGAAAGTATCTTCCTGCATGGCATTGATAAATACTTAATATATGATATTCCTGATTGGTTGCAGTCTTTGTTTCCCGTGTCAAATGATGATATTTATTCGTTTGTAGACGTATCGCGAACTGCGGATTCGGGAGCTGCTACATCAGCATTCGCAAGACGCCACGTTGATAGTATTGACGCTGCCCATTCCTCGTAAAGGTGTGCTTTCCGCAGGACTTTATCTTGGATGGTTGGACTTTGTCACCAAAGACATGAATTGTCCCGTGCTCTACCTGCGTGGCAACCAGCAGTCTGTGTTGACGTTTTACAGTTGAGTTCCGATCGGCTTCCTCATTTCGTTTACTACGGAATATTCGTTGCCTTCACGAAATGCCGGCGACGGAATACAGCGGCTGATTTAGAATTTGTGGTTCAGCGAGGGTACGCAGCCACTCATGGTCGATTATCACGCTGTTTTTGTGTCGTTTGCGGGATTCCATTTTTACTGATTTAATTCCCTTTTTCAACAACAGACCAGTTACTCGATTGTTGCCTGATTTCGCTAGTCAGACTATATTTCTGTAGTTTTTTATTTTGTTTAGCGATTTAACATATCTGTTTTTGTTCTAAAATGGTTTCGGTTTGTCACATGTGCAAAATTTACTTTTCATCAAGCGATACCTTCGGATTTTAATAGTGAAATTAAATGTTTGATGGTTATGCCGTTGTTTTGGCTTTGTCCGTTTTAGCATGCAAATCTTTCTTAGCGTTTTCCATCGTTCGGTACATGTGGCATTCAAGTTCTCTAATGGCTGTTCTACTTTTTAGCCTGTGTTTTAGAATGTTTGCCAGCTTCTGGTATTCTCCATTGTTTCGTTCGCGGAATCGCCCTTGTAATCTTCCGGTCCAGCATAATGACACTGATATGGCTTTACGAAGAGGCAGAAGCTCTACATACCATACTCTGAGTTTGCAGTTTTTCCAAATGGCTCTTAATTTGTATTGTATGTTACGTACAGTGTTCTGATAGAATGCTCTTCTTCTGCAGTGATGCCTCTTTGTCATCCTACGGATGTTATCAGATCTTCTAGTCTCCGAAGTGATTAATCATAAAAGCAGAACCGCTTGGCCGGCTTCTTCCGAAACAATGAAAACGGACTGGTGTAAAGGGACGTTTTGTAAATAAATATAATTTGCTATATAATTCAGGTGTTGATTATACTTGTTTGCTATCATCATCTTTAGCTTTATTGGCTATTAGTTTTAAGGCTGCTTAAGATTGGTGATATCTGCTTTTACTTTGATTCTAGGAACTGTTAACTGCGTGCAACGAGAAAAGATTCACGTCGACAACAGTTATCCGTTTAGGTTCGTCTGCGGTGCCATGCCATGCACATTCTCCGATGAAGTTGCATCGATTCGTTGCAAATAATCGAAAAATGTCAGGTATCTGTCTCTCAATCTTTCGATGCGTCTGTGAGATCGGATATTGTTAACCGGGTTAATTATACTTGCTGATTAATGCCTTAACTGTTCACCGCTTCTGTTATTCATGCAAACCTGCTTCATTGATCCCAGTTTTTTTCTTTCTCGGCTGAATTATTTTCTTATAATCAGTTTTCTCAATGGTCGCTCGATTTTACTTCTTTTCAGTCATTTCTGTTTCCTTTAGTAATCTTGTGAAATGTCCCCACTTGACACGTTACATACCGCGAGATCAGTATGTAAACGAAAAATTACATGCGCTGACACTCCTGTAATTTTTCACCGTTTTGGAAGGGTTGTTTTGATTTGTGTAGTTTTTTGGTTATTGAAATCATCCTGTGCCCTTTGCATAGTCAGAACGTACCTGCTCTTTTCTCAGCTTTTCGACACTTTCCTGTGATTCCTCTCTGAAACCACCTCTTCCTATTTGTTATTCCTCACTGTTGCATACTACCTTCCTAGTCGACCTGTGCTTTCTTTCGGCTGCAACACGAGAAAGTCACGTGTTATAGAAAATGGTAGTATTTTCCTAACAGGGCCAACCACTGCTTATTAATCTCCCTATTTACTGAGGTATCCTTTTTCAGGACGACAGTAGAGTCATTCCTTTCACAGTCCTATCGTGTAACCTTCATGCGTCTAAGCCAATCATGCTGTATGACAATTCAATCATCGTTCTTACGCTTCGTTAAAATAACTGTATCCATGCCGCACAACAACACTGATTTGACAAAAGGCAAGGTACAAACCGATCTCTGTGAGAAAAGTAACTCCTTTCTCAGCCCAAATATCGGACATGCTTACCCAAGCACTCTAAGATAGAACGATCCTCGTATTGAGCTCCACTGGAAGGTTCCATCGTTGGAGACGATGGAACGAGAATAATTCAATTGATCACCGTCTTTAAGCGGTTCACTTCACTATTATCCTTCAAAATCATCTGGTAGACATATGCTTCGTAACTGTGCAAATTCTGCCAGCCTCTGATCGAGAATGCTTAGAACATAGTCTTACAGGTAGGTCTTGCATGAGAGATACGAGTGCTATATATATAAATAAGTGGTTATATCACTAAATAAAACAGCCATATATATATATGGCTGTTTTATTTAGTGATATAACCACTTATTTCGGTTATTGTCGTCTCCTTTCAACCTGAATACTAGAAATAGCTTTCGTAAAGATTCTAAACTTGGCGCGTTGTGCGGCGGTCGCAACCAACTCGGTTTTCAACTGCGGGTAACGGTTTCGAATCGGCGGATCGAGCAACCTTTCTCTTTAACCTTAATTCCCTTGAGTAAGGAATTAAGGCTACATTGCTACCACGCAACCAGCCAAAAAGCTGATAGTTCTAACTAGCGAATAATAATGGTACGATGTTATTTTTATCAGGTCAAGCCAAAATGGACGAGGTGTTTTGTCTGATGGAAATGCCCCTTGTGGCTGCACTTAGTCTTGACCGCCCTGATAGCTCACTATCCAATGAAATAATCAGCATAAGGCTTAACACAGTTCAATGATTACACAATATTTTGGTGCCAGCGATTAGTATGGTCGTACTTTCATTGTTTTTAAATTCCAAAATCATGTGTGACTAAAGGCTCTGCACTGCTCGCAACAGTGATACTTCTGTCAATTTTAAATTGCGGCCTTCAGCAATGTTGCTTCATTCCGCATCAAATAACGCATAACTCGATCAGCATCGGATTTCACTGTGTATTACACCGCGCCCTTGCTCCTAGAAGACCATTTGAAGACACAATGGCTCGATGGTCTTGGAAAAATGATGCGTTATTTCACAAGCTCAAGGATACCTACAGTTTGTGGCATTTGTCAGCAGCATATAAGGCATGCCAACTCGTAAAACACCGTTTGAAATGAGCGCGATGTGAAATGCAATTAGTACTCAAATGCCACGGAGTGTTGCCTGTTTAAATTATGCCTTAAGCAACTGGGGACAAAGGACGATGCAATACACTGTGAAACCTTGTCTGGAACGTTCTAGACACTGTTGACGTGTCTGTCTCTGCGACCTAAAGGATGAGGGGTCAATGACTGATTGGGTACATATTGATGCACCTGAAGTCTGTTCTTTTAATAAAGGTTTAGTAGTACCAACACAGAAAAAGTTTTACCTACAAAACTTGGACAAAACATGAAAATGTCGTTAACACCGCTAGCAATATGATAACAGCCATCTAATCCAAATTTTTAGGCATAAACTACATGTTACATGATCTATTTCAGGACTTTCTTCAAATCGACAGGTTCGTATTTGTAACCGCTCCACGCCGGACTATAGCCCATTCCGAAGTCCTTTCCAACAGTCGCCAAACTTTGTAAAATGTACAGGTAGAAATGCAAATGATGAACTTCTGAATAGTCAATTGCAGATTGATGACTGATTTATTTATTATATTTCTAAAGTAACACCTTCGCTACAAATTTCACTAAATATGAATAATAATCATTTAAATGAATAGTAAATTATAAGACTAACAGTTTTATTTATTTTTATCAACAAAATTCACACAAACTCTGAAACGTATTTGAGATAGTGCTCTTTACAATAACTGCCAACATTTAAACCGATGTAGTTTTGTGTAAATGTCGACAGATTATAGAGACTAGAATCCGCCTGTTTCGTCGTATATGCAGCCATTCAACTGAAAATTTATTAAAGAATCTTCATCATCTTCCATCGCCGCTTCTCCTTTCGGGTCGCGGATATTAAAGAATATGTTTAAAAATTTTATAGAGAATGAGAAGCAGAAAACAGAAGAAGTAATAAGAATATTAATTAAAAACTGAGATCACGATGACTTTATAGTCATAGTTCGAAAACATTGAAGGAAGAAAAATGACAGTTAACTGAAACAGATGCACCTTCAGCGAGATTCGATGATTGATATTTGCCTTAATGGATGATGAAAATAGAAAAAGCATTATATATAACTACTAGGTAATAGTCGTTCCAGTGACTATGGTTAAGTTTTCTAGCAATGAAATAGAAATAAGTATCAGCTTCAAGGATGGTAACAAATCGCATAGGAAGCTACATATTCAAGGCTGACCAGCGCGGAAGTCCTAGGATTCCGGCTACGGGAAAATAAATCAAACTAGTTTAACTGCTAGCAGTATAATACGAGTCATCATAATAAGACGTGATTGAAACTCAGTAAACGGCTGACTGACCATCCACGAACAGATGTGCAGTAGCCTTTTAAATGTAAATCATTGATTTCATTTCATGTCAAATGTCTGAAAGTTCCATCTTGTCAGTTTCGCTCTTGTATGTGTCAGTTGCTTTCTAATAAATGGACAGCGTGATAAACGTCTGGTGTTCGTGTTTCTTACAGAACTGTTCTCATCCATAGCATTAGTTTCAGTTCCCGCAGAATTTTGTGCCGTATTTTGATGCCTGTTTACTTAACATCATGTTGGTAAATTTTCTTTCGGTGTCAGTATATAATAACTTTATTTTTTAACGTTTATAGTTTTGAAACTATTAATTGAATTGGATTAATTCATCCGAGTACATAATTCTCCATCAGAACGGTTCACGGTGGCTGTACGCTGCATGATCAAGCCATACATAAAATGCGTATAGGTTCTGATAGTGCCTTATGCGTCTTCGTTGATAGCATGAGACCTTTCAGCTTTACAAGAAAGGTGCTAGACGACTCATATCGCGATCTTCATGAAAGAGGCACACATTTTCATGTCGGTTATCAAGCTGCAGAACATATTTTTGTCGAGTAAAAGAACTGTCAGTTTGCTGTACTCTAGGTGGCTCGCGTATTACGGAACTCGAAATCGTTGTCAGACTTGTCCGTCATGCGGATCGAGC